CTCTTAAGAGTCCTTTTTTTTTTTTTTTGTTAAAAGCAATTTAGTTTTTAAATTGATGGCAATGGATAGGAGATTACTGGGCTTTTTTATGTTTAGTTTGGACACATCTTAATTTACTAGGCAAAATATAGTAGTATTGAATTAGATTTAAAGAATTATTATCTCGAGATCTTGAATTCAACTTTTGTTAGAGAATCTTAGTTTATCCAATAAATATAATGTGCAGTGATTGTATGCATCTAAAATTTACGTTATAGTTTGCAAGTTTACACGACGTGCAGCTGAGACGATTTTTTTTTTTTTTTTTTGGTGAAAAACTATAAATGTTAATTATAAGAGAATTAAAATAACACCCTGAATAGCCTCTGATGAATGCAGAGGGTGCATAGATATTTTCCAACTTAGACCCCCTGGGGACAAAGATTAATGGTCAAGAGTGGTTGTGTGGTATAATGAATTAACCAAAGAGAGACGTAATCAAATTCGTGGAGGTAGCTTATTGGTGGTGAAACTTCTTAGCAGTTCGCTTTCGCAATTAGGATAATGACCAGTTGACAAATAATTCTAGTAGCGCACTGCAAGTTATCAGGACTGGATTAGATATCTCTCTTCTGTTTTTAATGTGTGCGTGGGTGAGAGTGAGAGAGAGAGACCCTGCAACAATACTTCTGACCCACACAGTTGAAAGCAACCTTTCTTTCCAGGCATTAGTGTAGAAGATTTAAAGATATAGCTGACATTAATCTGCTAAAATAGTCCAACTATTGACCAGGCATATCAATGTAAGAAGATACCCAAGAATTACATTTAGGTACGGTACTATAAGTTACCATAACATAAAAACAAGAGTATAATTCAATCTTCGTAAGGTTATTAAAAAAATAGGATTGTTCGGATGCACTTTTAACATTTTAGAATCAATCATCACATTTAAAAAAGTTCTCGTATTTACTTAAAATGAGAAAATCTTAAAACCATTCTAGAAGTTACTTAAGAACTGCTAGAGTTGGAATTATTACCAAATGCCAGCTTGTTCCAAAATGGATCCACAAGCAAAAGGGAACGAAAACCAATTCTAAGAAGTTATACCATTTGATTGTTAACCATAACAAGCTATTAGATTAGAGAAATCAAGGTCCAAGATGCACATGTATCCCACAAAAGAACCAATTGTACAGAATTCAATTAGGTTCAACTTCAAAAAGACTCGGGGATCACAAACCATTTCTAATAAGACTAGATGCAATAAGAAACCACTAGCCAACCTGATCACTGTAACAGAGAGAGATTATACAAAGGGTCGTCGCCAGAGTAAAATTAAGCACATTCGCTTTTAAATTATAATACATATAACATTCTGTCACTAAATCCTTCCAAGCAGTTGCGGAGCACTATCTGCTTAACCATTTTGTAAGCTCAAAAGACAGACTTCATAACCATTATCACAAATAAAAACAACCAAGCAGTAATACATACGTTAAGACAGATACAAATCCCCTTTAATAAAAAGCAAATTTTTTGGAGGGACATCACAAATTCTGCTATAGTGAACCATAGATGGTGCTTATGTAAAGAACAGAAAACAATGCCAAAATAGTTCCTCACCAAGTTTCACTTTGGATCAGATGACCGTATGCCATGGCGCTTGAAGAATTCTCTAAATCCATAGGCACTTTGGTCATAGTTGAACTGGAAGTACACAAAGAACAATCAGACAAACACTTTCAATCAGGCACATAACATAATGCTTCAGTAGGGCTTATCGTACGATGATCCTACTGGCTTAGATACAAAGATATGTTCAAACAGTTATTTGTATAAAGGATGATGTCTATCAGCATCAAGAGGAGATAGAATACATGCAAGGCCAATTTTCTGTCAACAATGTTTAGGAAATTGCATAGACGTCTTTAAGATAAACACATCAATAAGTAAACAGAGTGAGTGATCAGCCCCTTTTATCAAAGGATATAAGGTGCAGAATATGACTATTTCCTGCTAACTCAGGTTGCAAAAAATACTAATGATATAATTCACATGATTGGAATAAAGGCTCCATTCCAAAAAAAAGAATAAAAGGCTCCACAAAAAGAATAAATCAACAAATAAATAGGTGGAACCCAGGACAATTATTTGAATGTCTTAATCTTTATCAAATGGGTATATACTTCCTTTCCACTGAAAAAATAGAATTGCTGGATTAGGAATAAAAAAATTTCTGTCTGCCTGACCACCGATGGAAGGTTCAAAAGTAGAAGATGAAACATGAGTGCGTGTCTAGTACCTAAAGAACAAAAGGAAAAGAATAGAAAGAGAAAGAAAGTAAGAGAGAAGAAATTTTCTTGTTTTTGTCTAATCAGCTAGTCATATTTTGGCTAGAAGGTTTTGGAGTAGTTTTTAAAAGACTCATTCATGAGCACCAAAGACTTCACATGCAGAGTGAATCAGGTGGCATTTCTCCATTTGAGTATTATCCCACCTTCTAAAGTTCCATTTTTTAGATGTCAACAGCTCTGCAGATGAGATCACTATTGGGGAGCACAGGAGGTACCACCCGGCCTCGAGACCTATGGCCCCTAGGAAGCAAACTGATTTTGGCAAGAATTCTCACGTCTTTGTCCTATGACTAAAAGTAATATGGATATGGAGAATAAAAATGTTCTTTTTCCCTTTAAAATTGAACCTTTGGTTCCTCGAGTATGCATAATCCCCAATTATCAAATCTTATAGTGAATATCAAGCAGTTGAGCGGTCCTCAAATCAGGAGGTCCAACATTAGTATAAAAGTGATCCTTCATTAAGCTGGTGAAAAGAGATGTATTATGTAAAAAGCATCTTCAGTGTTCTACTCATCAAGGTCGAGATTGCGCATCATGCATCATTGTGTATGTCAGAGGGAAAATTATATCGAAAGGACTTGGTATGTGGATACTAAGATAGGTGAAGATTGAGCAGCTGGGCCCTGGGAGGACTAGCACATTAGTTACAGACTAGTAGAGTCCTTTTTGAAATAAATGCTCAAGTTTTGATTTTAGGTTTTATCTCAAAACAATAGAAGCTCCATGTTCAATATGTTATAGCGTAGAGAATACAAAAGAGGAATAATTCACGTAAATTTCACATTAGTTAAATTCACGAATGGATGAGCTCATATCATAAGCTAGCATGCCATTTTGGTTTTCAGCTCTAAAGCACGCTATCTATCTGACTTCCTGCTTGGGATCGACCTAGATGCAATAGATAGGAGAAAGCCTGTTAAGAGTATTACTATAATAGTATTAGGGTTCACACTTATTGTAATATGTATACCACACAAAAGGTATACTTGTCTTTTGTATGTTTGTTCAGTAATTATAAATACAAGTTGATAGTAAGAGGTAGGGTAAGTCAAACCCCTCTTTACCTCTCTTATATTGTGTTAAGTCTGCCTTTACTCTAAACTTAACATGGTATCAGAGCAAGATGTCATGTATTCGAATCTCGCCGCCACCTTAATTATTAAAAAAAAATTCACCTGCTAGACCCAAAATCTAATTTGCACGTGAAGAGGCATGTTAAAGTATAAATACTTGAGTTACACCCTCTCCAACAACTTAAGTTTTTAGAGTAGATGATTATTTTACATGGTATCTGACTATTACCCAACCAGATATTGTCTGTGCAGTCAGTGTGGTAAGCTAGTTTATGGGATGCCTTAAAGTACCACATTGGAATGCAGTCATTCACATTCTTCGATACCTCAAATAGGCTCCTGGTCTTGGGTTAGTATATCGAATTAATGAACATCTGAAAGTACAAGATTTTTTAGATGTTGATTGGACTAGTTCTCCCTCTTATTAGAGATCAACCATTAGTTATTATACTTTCTTAAGAGGTAATGTTGTTTCATGGAAGAGTAAGAAGCAAACAATGGTAGCACGATCCAGTACTGAGGCCGAGTATAGAGTAATGACACATACAACTGGTGAGCTGACACGGTTACTACCCTTTCTTTGGAAAATTGACTTTCCAGTTCAACTTTTTTTACAGTGTTCTGTGAAAATCAAGTAACTCTTCATATTGTTGTCAATCCCACATTTCATGAGAGGACCAAACATATTGAAGTTAATTGTCACTTTATTCGAGACAATATGCAACTCCATTTTTGAGATCTGAGGCCCAACTTGCAGACATGTTCACCAAAGCATTGAGTCGTACTCGTCTTATAGTCATCTGTTCTAAACTTGGATTATACGATATATATAATCCAACTTGAGGGAAAATGTTAAGAGTATTACTATAAAATTATTAGGCTTCACACTTATTGTAATATGTCTACCACACAGAGGGTATACTTGTTTATTGCATGTTTGTTCAGTAACTATAAATACAAGTTGATAGTGAGAGGTAGGGCAAGTCAAACCTCTCTTTGCCTCTCTCATATTGTGTTAAGTCTGCCTTTACTCTAAACTTAACAAAGCCCAAAAAGCAATTGTTTTGTGGTCATCTAGGGAGCTTGTTTCCTTTTTGTGTTGTTCATTTTAAATTTGTTGTTCCTCAAACCTTGTCCAGGAAAAAAAATATTAATAGGAAGGGAGTTCACATGATAGGATGACATAATAAAGCACAAATCAATAAATTTCTTGTATGTGCAAACAACTATAGTTATCTGCTAACACTCCAAAAAGTTTGAAAATGGAAATGCCATTTCACATGCTATTTAAAAAATATGCCAACAGCTGTGCCCCGGGACTATAGACATCAAGTGTAAAATCAACGAATTGAATTTAAAATCCTTCTCAAACCTATGTTTCTGAAAAAATGAGCAAAAGAGATCAGGCAAATGATTATTTTTTTTCCCTTTTTTTTATATATAAACAACACCTAGACCTGCAAATGATCTTTTTTTTTTTTGGGTCCATAAATAAAACAACCAATCCATGTTGTGCTGTCAAATGCAAGAATGATGCCAAGTTTCTATATCAGCTAAACTAAATCAAAGAAGATAGCATGCACACTTGTCAAGTCAATGTTGGTAATGGCAAAGAAGCTCCAAGACTCACAGGTAAAACTTTCACAGAATACTTGGTAATATTTGGATCAGCAACCTTTCCTTGATTGGCCGCCTGGACAAGAAAGAATACAAATTACTGAATGTGCTTCCAACATGCACTCAAATGGTAATGACAGGCATATGAGAAGGAATCATTTCTTCAAAATTTTGGCACCAATCAATTCAAGAAAAAGAACATGAAGAAGAAGAAAAACTACATCTGAATTACCTTATGTCTGCAATGAAAATGAAGCCATCATATTTTTCTACTTACTAGACAAATCGTTATTCATAGTTCAACTGTGTCAGCTATAAAAGCCAACATGATAGGTATAAAGAACATCTCACAAAACATGACTAAATCTATGACTGCAATAAAATATCCTCAATCACCAAGCTGTATCCAAAATTACAGGAAAAGCATGTGAGAGTCGTTGTAAAGGAACATCAATAAATTTTGAGAGGGCATACTGTTCACCCAAAAGAAGCAAATCACTGTAACCAAATTCTAGAATTCTGCACAGTACAGTACTGCATCCATACATTTTCAATTCACTAAAGAATTGAGAACTGAAAGACAGATATACTTATATGGTACCACAACAACAAGAAGACCAGAATGTCAAGTAAACCTACTTGTTCTGGGCCATGGAATATTTCGATAAACGGGTATTCCTTCCTTTGGCGCGTTATGCAAAATCCAGGATATTTGGGACACTCAACCTGAAATATTTCACCAGAAGAACCAAAAGGCATGAGCAACATCAAGAATGCTTAGGTTAAAAAATAAGAATTCAATGTTCTCGGATAGCTTCATTTGCAAACATGCACTTTCATGCATGCATGCATGCACACACACACACACACACAAAACATAGATTCCTTCACTAAGCAAAATCTCAAACTGTACACATCTACTGTATGGATGGCCAATAGAAATGCATACAGTGCCCCAAATTTTTTTTTGTCATGCTTCTGAATCATTTGGCCAATTTCTGACAAAAGGTATTATGTAATATTCTGGTCTATATATATGCCCTAGAACCTATGATCATCCACGAAGTATGACTACCATAATCATTTACCAGATTAGATATAACTTACACGCATGAATTTTATATGCGGATAAAACTCAACAGCAGCTTCCTCTAGTACTTTGTCAAGATGTTTTGTGTAATTACACCTACAAAGTTGAGAATTCAAACAAACAAAACAGAACAAGATGGATAGTACAGTGAAGATGGGAGAGAATAACGAGAAGAAAAACGAGAAGAAAAGGACTGGACATCAATCTCAACTCACCTGATGGTAAATGCAACAACCACAGGGTAGCCTTCATGTAGAAGATGAACAAATTCCCGCTCTGAAGAAAAATGAATGACCCTCGATGACCCCAGATCCTTTGGATACCCAGTGTAATACCTTTGAAATTTGGCAAACAATTCAGTTATGGCAGGTGAGAAAAGATATCCTCCTGAGTGAAGAAAAACTCATTGAAATTGTATCCATGCAAGTGTAGAAATCCAGTGGGATATTACATTTGAGAAACTCTGCAGCCATTTGGCACTCAATATCAATTCAGTAATTCTGAAAATCACAAAATAATATCTCCTAAATGAGTAAGACAGCCATGCAGGGAATCCATGCCCCGCGGATCATATGTTGGACACCAACACAGTTTCCAATTTGTCTGGTCACACATTGGCAGCACAACCCAAAAAATTCATTCTTTTAACTCCTAGTGCACACATGAATGACTACATGATTAAACGATTATTATATTTCTAATTTTGAAAAATGGATAGTAATGTGAGAGAAAAATCCTGAAATTTTTATCATAATGATAGAAGGAAAATAACAAAAATGATGCTACCACAGAACAAGTACTACTCGATAGAATTCCATCACAAATTATATCAACATTCAGATTGTGTAATTAACAGGAACAAGTGAGGAATAAGAAAACAAAGGAATTGCATAGCACAAAATCATTTTATGAGGAAAAGGATACCAACCAACAAGCAATGGAAAACAAACCAATAAAGGCTGTAAGAAGAAATATGATACACATACTTGCACTTTGCACGGACATTAGTCATCATCTTCTCGAAAAACGAAAGCTCCCCCATCAGCAGAAAGTTGATAATACTGCAAAATTTTACTATTTACAATCAAATGCTTCTGTTTTGTACCAGCGGTTTAAAAAATGTATGATATCAAATCCAGTTCTGTAACTGAAATTCCAAAGAAGTTTTCCAAACATGTGTCCACAGATTATATAAAAAAAAAATTCATCTCTCAGAAATTCGAACAGCCATAAACCTACACAAGGTATTCACAGATTCAACGTCTCCTCTCGCCCCACACCCACAACAGCTAAGGCCTACAGTCTCCTTAACCACTCCATCATCTATCAGGCTTTTGAACATGTGTCCTTAACTTCGTTGTGACATAGAAAGCATAGGTAGGGATTAAACTGAGGCAAGCACACATGACCAATACCTGGAGGCTGGGGAGAGGTGGTCTAAGTGAGAGTACTCGAGATACTAATTAACCGAGAGACAGATGTGAGGTAGGTAGGCACAGTGACTGTGCTCTCACCTACCGGACATTAGTCTTTATGTTTGCTGTCCTATGGCAAGTAAGTAATGAGAGGTATACATAACCCAGATATAGAGAGTTCGTTTCAACCATGTTGGGTTACAGGGTCAGGATTTTATGGGCTCCCACAGAAAGCACACAATATGTTTGTGGAAATGTAAGAGAGAACTAGAACTATTTAGATACCTAGATACGAGAGAGCTTGAAATATTGTCAACTAAGTATGAACAGAACTGTTAGAATTCATGTGCCTGAACGAATTTCATAGCCATCTCTGCCCTTATTTGGCTGGTTCATGCCAATGCTCCTAAGTTTCATTGGAAATGATAGACTTAAAGTTCAAAGACGACTTACCCGGAAAATGTTATCAAATCAAACAACACAAATTGTTGGAAAACATAGATTTATAAAGCACTTTTGGGTGGTAAGGCACCCATCAAGTAATCTTACAAAGAAAGGAAAATTTGAGGTTTCTTCAACATAAAACTCATAGCCATGCACAACGCATACGTATAGGAAAAATTGAATTTTCATCAACATAAAATTGTATGCATATATATACGCATATGACTATACTATGGAAGAGTGGAGGGTATACTTACTCTTGTTTTGACTAGTCACAGTGTGCCTCTGCCTGAAATTTCGGACCTTACTGGGTGTAGCTGTGTCTCTGTTTGAGAGAGAGAGAGAGATGAAGTGAAAATGATGGTCTCGGGACAGGAGAAGTAAGGCCGGCTTGAATCGTGAGGCTTAAAGTTCAGAATGCTGAAACCAACACACAACAGATTAGGCTTATACTACCGGGTAATGTTATTAAAATTGGACCGGTCATCAAACCGGCCGGTTCAATTGTTGAGTCAAATGGTTGGATCGATCGTGTAATAAAAAAATAATAATTTAAATAAAAAATATAAAATATGCCTATAATACATACAATTTATCATAAAATTAATGAAATCAAATATTCTCTCCGTTCTTAAATATTTGTCGTTTTACACAATTTTTTTTGTTCCATTATATATGTCGTTTAATGAAACCAAAACATAATTAATATTTTTTCTTCTAAATTTACTCTTAACTTTTTAATGCATTATATTTGGTGGAGACTAAGTGTCTTTCATATTCCTTTCTTGCCCAATATGTATTGAAAAAATATATTTTAGTTTTGTGCAATTATTTTTTACTCATATTAGAGTTATTTAATAATTTCTTTAATCTATGTAAAAAAAATTTAGACGACAAATATTTAACAATGGAGAGATTATCAAATCAATATTCATAAAATTCAGAATCTCGATCACTATAAAATTAAGAATCTTAATCTCAATCCCAATCACATCAAAATTTACAATTTCCAATAAAAATTACCACAAATCATTATCATCTAAAAACTCAAAAAATGACATATATAAAGAATACGTGTGTCATTCCCAGATGGGTGACCAATAAATTCAGCCACGACTGGTTGCCCCTTCTATCCTTTTAGCAAAGCTTCAAAAAAAAACACACAACACACACAAAGGTATAGCTATACAAACTCCCCCCTCAACATTGCTCTCTAAAGAACTGGCTCCTGCCCCATCTCCAAAATTAACCATGAATTACATTCTGCACAACTATTTACTGGGGAAACAATTAGGAAGCGTACATAAGCTCCACACTGGGCAAGGTCGCTTGGACTGAGTTGAAGACAGAGAGAGAGCGCGCGAGACAGAGTGGGCTTCCTGTTCGTTGCCTGGAATGGAGAAGGAGATCGAAGTCTGAGGGCCTTCGCTGCTTATTCGTCGCCTGGAGGAAGAAGAGGACTGGAACTGGACTCTTGGGTCTTGGAAGTTGAAGAAGAGAGGCTGATTCAGAGAGTTCGAGTTGAAGCAGACTAGCAAAGAGATGTTCGTCGGTGAAGCAAAGATCGAGTTGAAGACGAATAGGCAGCGATTTGAAGAAGAGAGGCTGGGCAAAATGGCCAAAACAGATATTTTTTTATTTTTTTTTTTAAGAATTGCAATCCAACCGTCCGGTTTGTCCGGTTCACCGGTTTTAACAAAAATCGGACGGTTTAACCGTTAACATCCGGTTCACTTGCCTAGCAGCCCAGCTCAAGAATCGGGCCGGTTTATGCCCCAATTCACAGTCCAATTGGCCGATGTGGTCCAATTCTGATAACACTTTCTACCGGGCGTCAGCCCTTTCGAGTGTGTGGAACCAAATATGGGCCATCGGGCGCGAGTGGTGATGTGATACTAATCTGGGGTGGCAATTGGTCGTGCGGTGTTATTTTGTGCTTGTGTTAAGCCCTAATCAATTTTAATTTAATTTATCATCTTGTGTCGTATTAAATTATTTATTTTTGTATCGTATTTATTTTGACCCATATAACCTCTAAATTAAAAAAAATATATCTAAAAATTTTTTATCACTTAATCAAATCGTACTTTTTCTATAAATTAAAAATTAACTTAATAAATATAATAATAATAATGAGTTAAAATATTTTTTTTGTACAAAAATTAAATCACTGCTTGATAAAATATAATAAAAAATAATATTTTATTCTTATAATAATACTTAAACATGTTAATTGTGTTAATTTTATATTTTTTGTATTTAGCACTAACTCAACACATTTATTATTCGTATTAATACTCATGTCATATAATATTTCATGTTGAAAAATAATCAATCCTGTTACGGTATTGATTTGAGTCATGTTTTCGTGTTACTTGAAAAATTGTTATCCCTGCCTATTACGCCGGAGAGAAGAGGATGAAGAGTGAGATTTGGGCCGGAGGGAAAGGGGGGAGGAGGGGGTTTGCGTTTCAGGCGACAGAAGGACACAAAATCTGGGAAGGGGTTATTGTTTCATTTCAGTTACTCGGTGATCACTTGTATTGCACGTGACTAATATAGAGTGATGGCAGAAAATTAAAGCATAGTATTAATTGAAAAATGTTCAAAAATGAAAGGCAGCAATCCACGAAATTTGAAACAATATAAATAAGCAACTTATATCCAATATAAAAGTTCGCTCCATTGTGACCTAAACGTCAGTCAGGGTCTCAAGTCATGAAAATCACCTTTGTGCACGGAATAAAATTCCGTACATCTAAACATCCCAAGCGCCGCAGTGATGAAAATATTGTGCATTAAACATCCATTTTTTACCCATTCTCCAAAGAGTACACATCAACTTCATAGCATCTTCATGGCTTAGGCTTCTCCACAATTGAGTCAAACAGTCCAGCCAGACCAAGCATGGGGCAAACTATGATTGGTATTATACAAACAGTGAAGAATACAATATAGAGCAACATACAAACCATCCCCAATCCTTTGTCCCTCAACTCTAATTTCCTAGCAATTTGGCCTACTTCATAAAATGTAAAGGGAATTACAAGGCATTCCACCATTACAGAACTTAGTAGCAAAATTTCTAGGAGTGGAAGAAACTAGGAGTCTCTCCTTTATACTAGTTATCTTTACATCTCTTCCATACATATTTTCTTTGGACAAATACGTTTATCATCATATTATCTTATTCCAACAGATTATAAAGAATATAACCACCACACCACTGAACATAGATGACCAACTTAAGTTACCGGTCATAACCCATGGCTACAACTGGAATCCTGACCTTGTGCCCTCTGCTTCCTTTCATTAAAACCTCCCCAAAACTGTATGTCCCTCGTACTGATCGAACAGTGAGTGTTATGGTAAACTTCCGTGATCCACCAGGTCTCAGAGTCATTGCTGGAGGGCTGGTTTCTATGGCCACTTCTGGTGCCATCCTTGCCGTGATCACATAAGTTTCTTCCTCGGCAACATTTGTGACGGTGCGTGTGACTGTCTGAGTTCCGACAAGATGAGAAATTGTGACCGACGGCGTGTTGAGATTTGAAGGGTGGCCAAGAGTGTAGTTGCAGGGTGCATTGGTGTAGTTCTTTATCTCATGAGCATCTATCCCAGGTATGGTGCACAAGAACCCCAAGTAGTCTTCATATCCTGCAAAATTGAATCAAACAAAACAAACTTTTTAGTGACTGGGACATGTCAGTGAAATCCGTGGAATCACTTTCCAATATCTAGTGAATGCACATCCATCATTCAAAAATATTAGGTTCACATATTTTTAGTTCCCTGTGCTCTTCAATTCTGACATAAGTTCCTCATTAGGTAACCCTTTTTATTGGAAAGTCCCATCACGTAACCCTTTAGTTATATATATAAATAAATTACCCACTCCCTTGCTCCTTTGGGGCACATCAGCTCTCTGATTCCTATGCTGTTAACCATTTTGACCTTCCATAATTAGACTTTAAAAACAGGAGAAATAAGGGGCCTAACTCAAAAAATCTTCCATCAGATCACTGATCATTCGGTCTCAATAATTATCCTTGCTTGGTCTAACTGTGAAAATATCACTCCAAAATCAATAGCACTGAATAATTCAGATTGCTGAAACAGTATTTGAAGGTGAGTTTTCCAATTTGATCACTGCCATTCAGTGAACATGATAACTGAAAAATTA